TTCGACTAAACTTAATTAATTCCGAAAATAATAAACGATAACATTATTATATCGGAATTAAACGTAATTTATACCGATAAAATATCGGGATATTACAATCCTCCCTCCTTACAAAATTTTCGTCCTCGGAAATTCAAACATGACTGATATACATGAACTGTGTACATAAGATAAAGTAATATGTACATCAAAACTGAAAGTCTGGGAAACGAGCGCGAATGTCGGACTCCTCCTCCCAAGTAGCTCCGTGGCGATCCCACTGAATGCGCACGAGGGGGATATCTCGCTTCCGGAGCCGACGAACCTGACGGTCTAGTACAGCTACCGGTCGCTCCTCGTACGACAGATCTGGCTGAACCTGAATATCCGTGTGAGGGATGACATGATCAGGGTCGCACACGTACTTACGCAACATAGATGCGTGAAATACATTATGAATGCCTGATAACTCGGGAGGTAGGGCTAGACGATACGCGACCTCGCCTACTCGCTCGAGAACCTCGAACAGACCGGAGGCGGTTGCGATATTCGATCACGAGGTTGAGATGTAGCATAAGATGTTGTCCTTCCGCCGTCTTGTCGCGTCGGTGGATTCTGCTGGTTTGCGGGAGTCGTGGGAATAATGGAGTGTCCCAGAGCAGTCGTTGAGGTTCCCGGAATCGTTTGGGCCATTAGAGCGGCAAAACCACGTGCAAACTCTGGATTTTGAAACAGAACAGCATAATCCGGTATAGGCGGGGCCGCGGCATGTCGTCTGGCAGATTGCGCGGCGCTGCGACTGTGGCCATCTCGTGAGGTGTGACCACGATGATCTGAGTGAGACATGGTGGATATGGCTGGCGTGAATCGCTACACGTGAAAGCGGAAAGTAACCTCAAATCAATTATGAGGCCCCTCCTTCTAGCGCCAAACTGTTGTTATGCGATTTGTAACAACGATGTAAAAAGTGATTAAGTTGATAATTACGAACGGTTTGAACGTAAAGCATGTAAAAAAGAACTCAACAATGGCCTCGGTCCGAGGTGAACCGAGGTGAAGAGCCGTTATGGGCTTTTACGTGTTGCATACTAATGAGTTCGGGGATCCCCCGTACAAGTGTTTTAGGCAGTCTATTTATAGCAACTTTTTACGTACATTTCGGGACTTGTGCATTAGCCTTTTCATAAAGCTACTTTTTGATGGGCGGCAGGATCAGTGGGCCCCATTTGAATGATGAAAAATCTCGTAATTCGTGGCGGGGGTGCGTAGGTGCTTTGTCACCTACTTTAGGAGGTGATGACCTCGGTTCAGGTTGATCTCGGTAGATATCGGTTACTTCGGTCCTCGGTAGTTCGGACCGGTTCATTGCGTGGGCTAGCGTGGCTTTGGATCACGTCGGTTCAATAGTTAATTTCTTTTAACAATGGTGCTTAAAAACTCCTTAATGACGTTTTGCCGAGTCGGATGATAACACTCACCTCTATATATAGGGGTGAGCTTTACGTTTTGAGCACGATTTATCCATTATACTCTTGAGAATTAAGTAGAGCTTGGGACTGACTTAAGCATCAGAGGCTCTTCTCTGAGAGTTTTTTTGTAGGTACGCGGCGTTCAATCGGCGAAGAGGAATTCGAGTTAGCCGTTTCCAGCCTGTCGGAGGTTTTGAGTACCAGATATAAAGTCCATCAATTAAGTTAAATACTGACAATGAAATTAATCAACATCTATAATCGAGACTAGTACCACTCAAATTTTTATTATTATCTTGGAATAAATTCCACTAGCCAGATTTAAAATAATAATCCTTCATGAGTCTCATGAACATCAGCAAACTATCGCACACGATAATGGTAAATTGTCGAACAACACACCATACACACAACTGTACTTCCCAAAACACGAAGATTATTGACCCAACAGAATGTATCTCGCTTTTGGTGAATCAAAGTAGCAGCTACTGCATGCACGTGTCTGTTTATATCTTACGGTTAAGAGTACGCAGTAAATAATCGAGACCTAGTTCAATTACGACGATCAGTATAAAACGAACTTCCCCTCTCTGGGATTCATTCATGCACACAATGCACTAGTGTAACTAATCAATCAAGACAAACTGTACGATTAACACTACAACCGTTCCCGATGGGTTGTTCTTTTCTACTAGGTTGTGAACCAAACATTCATGTTTTACAAGTAACTTATATGTGATCTTCTATCTCATTCGTGATAAACCACAATATCTACATGTAAAACATCGGAGCTTAAACTTTTAATTAAACATGATTCTCATTCAAACGAGATTAGTGTAAATAACATCTAAGCTATCAATATATACATCAACAATTTTACACTAAATTTGTCAGGAAATATATTTATTAATTATATTTTTAAAATTATTCATGTAAAATTGATATTATTTACAACTTCATATATTTGATTCGATTTTTTTTAACAAAATAAGTTTTATTGTATTGTTATTTCATATTTATAGAGTTAGAGTCTCTCATTTATTAATTTTTCAAGTATTTTAAATTCATATAATTTGATAATTATTAATATTATTTTATGCACATATATATTATTTTTTTACTTTATGAAATTTAAAATTAATTTATTTTATATAATTATGATATACCTTTATATTTATTATTTTAAAAAACATAATGACATTCAATTTTTTATACAATCTATTTAAATCGAGATATAATACTTTATAATGTTTCTTCAAGTTTATTTATGTAATACTTAGTTTTCATATTTTCTTCAAAATATATTAAAATGATTATTTTATGGTGTATTAATTAATTAGATTTTTATTGTTTTTATAAAATAATTTATATTGTTATTTAACGTTTTTTAAATTGATTTGATAATAAAATTTGTTTTATTTATAAAAAGATAGATGTAATTATTTTTAATTTTATATATGCAACATGGATGTCAAATTGAAATATAATTATTTTGATATATCATATATAAAAAAAATAAATAAAATACACATAAAAGTGTTACAAATTTTAAAAACAAAAAGAACTTTATAATAATTAATATATTACTAAATAAGAAAAGGTAAGAGTAGTATAAGCCAACTTAAAAAAAAATAAAAAAAATTAAATAGTTTATGGTAATTCTCAAGTCTAATAGTCAAACTCAAACCTAAACATATGTCAATGCGAAACACAAATTTATGTCAATAGACTTACGAAGCATATGAGACAGTTAATTAGGCTCAATGCATTCATATTATATATAAGGGTGATATGAAAAATAAAAATTTCTAAGTGTGTCATGAATATTGAACCATTAATTAAAATAAACATGATGGAATATTTATGTGACCTTTTTTTTTCAATAAGCAAATAATTACACCCGACTCACTAGGCCTACCGAATAGAATGAAGGTAGCCTAGAGAACACAATTACAACACACAGAACATCAAAAAATTAAGACACTCCCCAATGGGAGAATACCAAATCCTCGATGGGATAATACACAGTCCCCATCGAGAAAACACACACTCCCTAATGGGAGAAGAAAAACACTTAACACACCCTAACATCACAAAACCAAAA